CGAGATGGCTGAAGGCCCACTCCGCGCCTTTGCGACCCAGTGGCTCGCCGACTACACTGGGGCCCGCCGTGGCGTGAGAACCAAAGCACGAGACGCCGTGTCCATTGGCAGGCTCTCGCGTCGCAGTGAGTCCATAGACACTGCGACCCGCTAATTAAATTACTAACTTCCGTTTTCCCGAAGGGGGGGAGGGTGTAACGGTAGTATAATATTACCGTTGATACGCTTTGTAAGCCGCCGCCGCGGCATGATGAATTCAGTAACCACCGCGTCCCATTGGACGCGGTTAATCACTACAACTGAGAGGGCGCCGTATAACCATATGGCGCCCGTAGAACTATATTCCGAGCGAACGACATATAAACTACCTACGAGAGCTCATGTATCCGTCGTCCTTTTGCTCAATATCACTCGGTTCTGTTCAGTCGCGTCGTAGCATAGCTTTACATAAGCTACGCTACATATACACTTATTACAGATGGCGAACATATGCAATCCATGGGAAAACCGCGGGCCTGAAAGGGTGCGTAGAGGCTCGCCGCGCTTTCCCGATTCGTGTGCAGTTTGCCTCAAGAGCGTCCATGCCCTGGATTTGCCTCCTTGTAGAAGTTGAGGTCCATCGTTGCAACTTGCAAGGATACATGGTGGCCAAAGGCAAGCCCCTGGGCCTGACTCAGGTCCACAGCCGAACGACAAAGTACACGTGATGTTCAACGGTTCGCGTGGACGCGACGCACTTCGTCGCGTCTCTGCTCCTCGACGTCACTTCACCGTCTCGCTTTCTAGATATCCAAAGGGTTGGCGAAAGGCGCCTGCATTGATACCATGGAAATTTTTAATGAGGTTCACCGCATGATCGCGTCCGTGTTTCGTCCATGAAAGTCATTCCAGGACCATTCCACCTCGCTGCTCTCGAGTCCGTGGCTGGTCAAAATTGACAGTGAAAGATCAATACCGTACCTTATGGTCAGCATTGACGTTGCATATTGTATACAGGAATTAACCCTGACCAATCACACAGAAATTCCGATCAAATGTCGACGACCTATCCTGCTGCCTAATCATCACGGACACTCGACGTGTGTGGGCGGAAGGTGACTGTGTTGCTGGTGACCTCCCTGCCTAGCTAACGTTCCCACGATTCTCGTTAGTGTTAACAATTAATACGCTTCAGCGTCGATGGTTTTCCCAGAACTATCCAGACGCCGATTTGCTTGCCATGCCCGCTCCAGATAATGCGTGGAGAACGACTGCGCTCTTGGCGTTATCGCAGTTGCACAGCTCAGGCTCCTTGGCTGACGCGACATTTGAGATCATCGCGTCGACGTATTCCGTACGTGTCGCATCACAAGAGACACGTGAAGTGCCGCTGAAATGGGAGAACTGGCAGGATCTAGCGTTCATTCTGGAGGGCCCGTTCCGATGGAGATGGGAGACGTACCAACTCGGACCGAAATCATCCGCCGACATACTCTCGAAGCACCTGATAATGCCGTTGATCAGCGTCACTCATCTCGCGTTCGCCTCTGCAGATCCCGTCTCTGAACTTTCCGAGGCGGACCTACAAGGTGTGAGTACGGTGGCCAGAATTGGAATGAACCACACTAATGCCTGAGATAAGGCAATTGATAAGACAGCGCGAACAGCCAGGAGGACAGGTATAGATACGCATGTTAAGCATGCTATGTCTAAACCCGGAATGGCTAGTGCTATATCTCGCATCACCGCCTTGATGAACGGATCACAGTCCCCTCGTGCGTGTAATAATACATGCACCAACTCGACGTCTCACAGTCCCCTGCAGCGAACATTACGTTAGATCCTGAACTTCCTCAGATTAACGTGCCATCTATGCCACACGTGCCAAAATCGGTGCCAAAGCAGCGCGAGGCTTCTCCCGATGTCGAGATGATCGGCGAACCCGTTCCCGCAAGTGCCTGTCCTTCTCGGTGATCAAACAACTGAACGCCTCCATTTTTTCCACCCGCAGGACTCTTCGCGCCATACACCCGAAGTACAGCATCGCGACATCCGGAAGGACTCGCCACCGGCTGCAGTACAATCCGAGACCGAATCAGAGGACGAAGAGTCGCCAGTTCGGCCCGTCGACCCCATGGAAGACGTTCGTGACGGTCCGACGCCTGCGATCCAACCCGCCGATGTCCATCGGGAGGAGTCCGGTCCGAATACTCAGCACTCAGACGCGGATTCGGATTCCGTCCGACCCCCTTCACGGCCTCACAAGAAGCCGAGGTCGGTGACAAGCTCGTCCGACGAGGAAGATGCCGGTGGCACCCGGCGTGGCGGGACCGCTCAAAGAGCAAGCGCAACAGGGGTAAGACGAGGCGCAAGACAACCATTGAGACGAGGTGCAAAGCGATTCTGAAGTGATAGGCGCCCCGACGATTTACCCTCGCCATCTCGCGAAGCGATAAACAACATCTGGTTACGTACTCAATGTTTCTTCGATCTCATGGCGAACTTCGTGCATACGATTCCTCCATGCGACTTGCTGGAGAAGGGATGAACCGCCGTTGATTCTCTGATAGTACAAACACAGAATGGAAGTCCGTGCTAGTGTACAAGAATATTATCCGGACCTATGCGCGAAGCGGTCCATAATACTTTTAGATGCAATGCAAATGTTCGAGATGATTGGTGGATCGTGAATGGAGACGCCCAAGTTAAAAGCGACGGTAGCGATGGGAGCCACGCTGGTAAGCTAACTCGTCCTGAGCCGCCTCTTTGCACGCGTCGCAAGGGAAGTGGAACAGGTTGACGATTTTCCTCTGATCCACCTTCACCTGCAGGTTTCACGTCAATATGGGTTCGAGCGAAGGGAAGGGTTATTACTCGCCTTGGGGCATGGGCACTTCTTGGTGGTTTTGTGCTGATGTGCTGAGCTGCTCAAGCAGTCGGGCTCCATGCAGTCGATTACAACGCCCGTGTAGTATCGTAGGATGTAGTGCTACAGGAAAAGATGAGTAACAAGCGGGCGACTGTGACAATGAATGTTCACGAACCTGGCAGCCGCGGTGGTAGTCAACGTAGCTAATGGAGACAGCCGAGGTTGAGTACGTAACATATACAGTGGATCAGCCAAAAGCAAGCGTACCATTCATGTCTGCACATCGTGTAACGTTTTGGGGGTTGAAGGTGAGGATGGGTGACTTGGATGAAAGGGGGACGATAGGTGATGAGATTTGATGGGCTCGAGGAGCTCGCCTTTATACCCGGACGAGATACGATGGCCCGGCAGATTGATAGTGAAGGGGCACGACATGGCACGAGAGAATCCTTCGATAGTCAATACAACCCCGGTGACCAAGGAACGAGCACGCCTACCGGTCAAGATTAGAATGCCACATGGCGCTAGCGCAATGGGGGTGGCCTTTGAGTTCGGCCTTCGCCCGACGGCTCTGGTTCTACGAGTCCCACTTGGCAGGAGTGCGCGGTAGTAATCGGACCTAACGGGTACGCTAAGGTTTCGGGTAAGAGCAAATTCGACGGCACACTAATCTTGCACCGCAGGCCACACGCAGGAAGAGGGCACAAGACGGGAACAGCCAGCTTCACTTCGGATCGTCGCCCGGGCAGCGTTTCTAGAGAAAACGCGTCTGGCGGATCCCCGGCTTAGCCCCGCAATTTAATCAGGATTCTGAAATTCAACCTATGCTACGGGACGGTGTGGGTGGGAGAGCACCTCATTTGAAGGAGACCCTCATATATATCGGGCCAGGGATCCTCGTAGCTTCTTGCTCGTCAAAGACATAATAGTAGCGCCTCTGTTCCCAGCGAATACTTCCTTTTCTGCTCGCGATCAAACCGTGTCGACGGTCCTGGGTATGGCAGGTTCAGGAAGACCCGGCCAGCTGACCATTGCGCCTGAGAAACTTCTACATTGGCGCGTTTCATGATGGCCGCGAGATTTCGCGTTCTCAGCGAGTATGGTTCCCCTTTGTCGCTAGCGTCGCTGAAGTGGATTTCGACGCGCAGTCGACGAGGCGAATCAGTAAGCAGGAGAGAATTGTCCATGGCACGCTTGCGTACACGTTCCTCCACGTTGTGCCTGTATAGAAAATCCACCGTAGTCAGCGCGCTTGCGAGAGCCATGCTGGAAGTCGCGAAGATACGATGCCATCGGGAGTGCAGTGGTCCATCGACCGACCGGCGGGTGCTGAAACCAGTATTCCGCCGCCCTCGACAACTCGGTCTGGCCCAGCGGTTGAACATGCCAGCATCCCCGGGGCGTCGGCGAGCGCTAGCGATTGAGACATGCAGCACCGGCCTCGGGCAGAGGTCATAAGCCCGGCACAAATTTGAAACCTACGGATATTGCAATTGCACTGGACCAGACGCCTACGGCGGGACCAGACCTGAGTCTATTCAGAACCTCGGAGGGGTCAATGTTGAATGAGGGCACCCGCACCTCCGATTAGGTACAGATACCAAACGGGCGTGCCGGCGCATAGCTTCCGATGGTATCGGAATCACCTGGTCCACCGGTACGCTGCGCTTCTTTGCGATCGCCAGTCTGGCCAAGCCATCGACGACCAGCGTGGGCACGACCATAACGGACATGAGTCAAATATCTGCTATTGCGAGTCAACGTCCTTCTCTTAATCTGGTTTCAATGCATGCGCACCATCGTGAACACTGTAGGCATGTAGTGCAAAAGCCACACGACCGCTCGATCAGCAACACGCCGACAAGCGTTCGACCATCGCTCCGTCGAGCTACCTCCAAACGGCCGTTAGTCCCAGAGCACTGTCAATTAGCAGCAGAAAGCTCCATCGTGACGCGAGAAACTGCTCTCTGGTGCCGAGGTGGATGCCATGGCCCGACGGTGGGCCGGCCAGCTCGCGAAGGGGATCGATGCCGTAACGCGAACACGAGTCGATCCCCCAGATCTCGATGGGCGACCCTCCGGAAGATCGGTGGCGCGGTACATGGCAGAAAGCAGAAACGGGGGGGGGGGGGAGGGAGTCAATGTCCGTGAGAGAGAGAGAACGCGGTCCGGAGCGGAAGGGCTTCTGCGTCTGCGCAGGAGGGTCAAGTGAGCTCTCGCGCGGATGGCACCCCTGAAGCTGAAGCCGGCAGCGCCGAGTCGGGTGAGATGAAGTGGAAACGCGATGAATGGCGAACGGGTCGCGCATCCTCGGCGACAGACGCATCGCGCCTGCTTGCTTGAACGCCGACGAATCTTGGACGCCGATACCGGCACGTTCTTGCCCCCCGTTTATCATCCAGTCCGTCACTTCTTCCCCCCGGAGTAGCAGTAGAAAGGCGTCTCTCGGCGAGGAAGAAAGGGGGCAGCAGGGATGTGCATCCGGTAGCAGGATGCCCGGTGTGGCAATGCGCGTACGGAGGGTTCGCGCGAGAGCGTGGAGTGCGGATTCCGTGAGAGAGAGGACTGGGTCTCGTGGTGCATCGAGTCCCCGGACTATGGCTGGAGTGCGGAAGGCACACCCTGGGTCTTCGTCGGCTCGCGATGGGGGCAGCGTTTACGTGTCTCTTCGCTGTACCTTCGCAGAATCGCGTGCCTGAAGACGGTCGGCACCATACCGAACCGCGAAAGCGTGTTGCATGTCGCAGGCGGCCCCATCTCGTTCACGTAAGGCACGCACCCATCGTGAATGACACCCGAAGCATGTGACGAACGATCACCACGCTCCTCCTTGCGGTGGTGCCCGACGACGACGACGCTCTCGCGCCTGGCAGGTCAGCAGGCCGGGTCGGACATAGAAGCCACCTAGAAGCGAGAAGTCGTCCGTACGCTCGCTCTGCCGTAACGCGCTGTGATCTTGGGTATAGATGAAGATCTCATACCTGGAGCCCTTTACGTGTCTCGTTAGACTCGATTCATCCACTCCCCTCCATCGATGGGATATTAGCACACACCGATTCGACGGACCGTGATGATCTGACCATATGCTGCCTACGGCCGTCGACATCCGGATGGAATATGCGTTCGCGCCATCTTCAAGATCCTTCCGCATGTTCGTGTGCTCCCTGCGCAGCCCAGTGAGGCTGCCATCGCCGGTCACAGGCTTGTCGACGGGGGTAGAAATGGTAACGTACTTGGAGATAATGTGCGTCGATCCCTTAGAGTACAGGGGGGGCGCGAGAGCATCCTTTACGTGGGCCCGGAAGATTGGAAAGGCGAATTCCTCCGAGATCGCGGCTGACTGCAGGATGCGTCCTTTCACGTGTCTTGAGCTTGAACCTTCACCGCAGCTCTAGCAGCTTTTTCGCGGTATATCGAATCAACGAAGGCGACGGTAAATCGACCGTTTCACTCACCATCGACGTATAGTTTCCCCCGAGCGATTTGAAGACCCAGCATGCGGGGTATCGGCATAGCGACAAAGAGACGAGCGCGATAGGACGAGATTCGTGGGCCAAAGGCCCGTTCTCAAGGCCCGCGCGATATGTACATGAGGATGCGCAGGACGCGATCCGCCAAGCAAAGACGCTTCTTCGCCCCGCTTTATCGCGCACCCCCCCCCCCTCGCAGCTCCGCTCCACGAAACCTTCAGCATCAGGCCGCAACGGTCCCTAAGCGGGGAAGAGGATCACCCCATTCGCTCGCGTTTCGCCGAAGGTGGAAGGTGGAAGGAGGGGGGCAGCAAGGTTTTGTGAGAGCTCACGTGTCGAAGCCCAGAGCGATTGAATATGCCAATGAAGCGTGTCAACGCGCGTCCGGACTTTCCCGCCATTTTCGCCGGAGGGGGGAGGAGGGGCTTCTTTTTCCAGGCGATCAACAACGATCAGTGTGCACGGATCCGGGCCACCCGGGCCTTCCCTTGCCCCCGAAGTCGATGCGAGGAAACTCTTCCTTCGAGGTCAGCGGTCGTCCCTTGCCTGCATCGAGCAAGTCCGCGCGCTCGATACCGGCAAAACGCGGGCTTATAGCTGGGCTAGTACTCTCTCTCTCTCTTTCTCATCTCCGTCCTACACGCTGCCCGATAATCCTTCGATGGGCGGGGGCGGGGGCATCGTTAACGATTCTTCGGGGGAATAGATAACGCAAGAAACTCCTTGAAAGTCGGCTCGGATGTGGATGGGGGCTCAAACGCAGTCCTGCGCGTCGAAGAAGGGAGGGGGTTGCCCGTGTTCAATGGCCTTGGTGCTTCCTTGGGCCAGACGGTCGGTGCTGCCACACGACCGCGACGGCAGTGTACCACTGCCATACCACATAAGTACATAAGGGCCTCCAGGAGACGCGGCCCCGCTCACGTCGGCGTTGTTGTTGAAGAAAAGGCGCGAGACCAGAGCCCAGTGTCGCGTCGATTGTGGAGGCGCATCGTGTGGCGCTCGCGGAGTCCGCTGGAACGGTCTTATCGCATTGTCCGACTCGCGACGCGACCACACCGGCGATCCCTGTCTCACAGATCGACACGCACACTGATCAGCACAGGCGAACTCGACGGAAGGGGGGGGATACTGACCTCAAAAAAAGCCCACTAAGAAGATCCGCCCCTTCGCATGCGCAGTACAAGTCTGAGAGAGATAACTCAGAGACAGATGGCACCAAGAGGGAGGGATGGAGGGAGCGGTGCGCCCAGCGCCAGCGGACATATACCCCGAACGGGTAAGAAGGCCCGTCGAAAGGGTAAGGGTCCAAGGGGACCGGGACCAACTGACCATGCCGGCGTTCAAAACGCGTCGCACACGCACGGACACAGGCACAGCACCGTCGCGAAGGTGTAGAGGGAAAGGAAGGAAGGAAGGAAGGGGGAGAGAGGGGCGCCGCTCTCGTAAAGCGAACCGTCCTTCTGAGGATAAAGGTACGCCTTGGCCTCGCGCGGATCGGTGATCCGCACCCCCCCTCACCCCCCCAATTCCGGTGCAGCTTCTCGAAAAGATCGGATCTTGGCTTTGCTTTGAGTTCCACGTAGTGCATCCCCTTCGCGCTGAAATAGACGTAGCTTCGTGTTGCGGGGACTCGTGGGCTTGCTAAGACGAAGATATGCCTTGCTGATATCGGCGTCGTCCCATATGAAGACTAGCGCGACGGAACGATGGGACGTGAACGGATGCGGAGCTTGCTGCTGCGGGCGACCCATGGGATGAGAGGGAAGAGCAGCGGCCGGGACTCGGCGAGATAAGGGAGAGGGGGAGGAATCTCTCGCAGGCGGAAACGGATGGCTGCATCTCGTTCGTTGGGTCTAAGAATAATGGATGCATCGGGGCGTGTTTCACAGCTTAGGCGGACATAGTACTAATCGCCCAAGATGCCGCCGACCCCCTCCTGCAAGTTGCTGCGGCTGTCGTGATTACTGAATGGCGACGAGCTCTCCAGCAGCCTCGCGCGCTCTTCGAACCCCGTTGTCGAGATTGGCAAAGATTGCAGATTTTTAATGAATGCGGGGGAAGGAGGGTTGGGGGCGGCGAATTCTAAGAGCAGGGGATCGTTATCGTACGACGGAGGTTGCGGGTCGCAACGCCGTGCACCCGACGGTAGAAGACGGCATGTTTCAAGGTCAGGGGACCTAAGAGTGGGATTCGGAAGGTTCAATAGCAGCGATATCGAGCTCGGAACTTGTCTGTGCCAGGCGGTGACTGTATGGCAAAGAATATAGAGGTGCATCTGTTTGTGGAAAGACTCGTGAGCGTGGGAATATTGATCGCCACCGAGCGTTTAGGCAAGTCGGCGACCACGGAAAGTACTGCACGCGGGATCGACGGCGCCCCGTCCGAGCAAGGTAAGAATGCCTTTGGGTAAAGTGGTCCCAGCATCGGATCTGCATGGTTGTCGGCGCCAGGAGGCACAGACGAGGCTGGACAACGTCGCACGCGCGCACGTCCCTTGCACGTCGGCAACGAGAGAGCAGTGCGCGCTGCGCAGTGTGTCCCGCCTCGAGGCGGGTTTGCGTTTGATGCACACGTCCCGCCATGCGTGAGTTTCGCGAGCCGTCTCTCTCTTTCTCTCGCGCATTCGATTTCGGGGGCGCATTCGATGCTACGGCCGTCCTGTCCGCGGATGTGGCACCTTGAACCTTCCGCCTTGCTCTCTCGTATTGCGGCTTCGCGTTCGAATCTCTCTTACGACAAACCCCCCCGTCCGAAAGGGTGATCGTAGCCTTGGAAATGCGGGGTCACAGCCCAAAAAATGCAATCAGGTGCATCCGTGCCCAATTGTCAAAGCGTGCGGCGGCACGCCCGGAGCTCAGCCGCCTGCGTCGGCGCGGCTCGCGGAGGAGCATGTTTGGGGTCGAACAGAATAAGCAGAGACCCCGGAGCCGGCGATTGGCGCAGAAACTGAGCACAAACCAAGCTGTTTCTGGAGATATCTCCGTGGCTCTGCCCCGCGTGGAGCGAAACGCGGTCCTCCGGGTCCCGGCACTGCACGCGAGATGCGCCACCGCTGGATAAAAGCGCTTGCACGCTGCGTCAACCAGAAACATCACAAACACCCTTCGCCGTCCCTTGCAACGACCATGGCCTTATAACCGCCCGCCCCGCCGTCACAGCGCCGCACATCCCAAACACCCCGTCTCCCCCAGCCCGCCCTAATCAACACGCCCGACCATGTTCTCGTCCTCCTCCCACCATCCGTCCCCCTCCCCCCGCCCGATCCTCAAGCGCGCCCCCAAGTCGAGCAACCACGCCGTGCACTTCCCGCCCTCCCCGACCCTCACCCGCACCTTCTTCGCCCACTCCTCGTCATCCTACGACCGCTCGCCGATCACCGTCGCCCCCAACGCGTGCGCCATGCCCGTGAGCCCAGCCCTATAACGCGATCCGCGCGATAACGATCAAAATTTTTCTCATTTTGTTTCCCCCCCTTCCTTCCCCTTCCTCTCCCTGTCTTCATAGGAACGCGGCTGCCCCGGGCGCACCTACGTCCCCGGCACGACGGACGATCACTCGGGACGCCACCTCCACCCGCGCGTCGTCGCGACCTCCTCCGGGCTCGCGAACGTCATCTCCGCCAGCGACCGCACCCCGCGCACGTCCGCCTCCACCTCCTCCCCCGGCCCGCCTCCCCCGCTCATCCCCGACCTCTCCTCGGAGTCGGACGAATCGGACGGGTTCGCGTCGCCCCCGCAGCTCTTCGTGCGCCAGTCCACCGGCGGCGGCCCCCTCCGCGCGATGTTCGACGGCCTCAGCCTCAGCGACGAGAACGCGCGCCGCTTCCTCCCGCACTCGCTGCCTCCCGCCGCCGCCGTCGCCACCACGCCCGAACAGCAGCGCCATCCGCGCTACGACCCCCGCCAACAGCCGTGGGACGGCGCGTCGGCGGGCCCTAAAGCGAAGAAGCGCAGGGACGGCAAGCACCGGCGTCTGCATGTCGGGCGCGAGGCGGACCCGCTGGAGGACGAGGAGGACGAGGAGGGCGACCACCGCGCGCTGGACGAGGGCTCGTACAAGTCGTTCTCGACCACGAGCCTGCTGGGTGGCTGTCGTCTGGACGATAACGACGAGGGCTGTCTCGCGGGTTTCTGAGGTGCGTCGGCCTTCGTGCCCCCCTTTTCCGATTGACTTCTGCAATGGTCCGGTAGCTGACGCCCTGCCCTTTTGGTTGTTTTTTCTAGGAGTCGATCGTGGCCCTCGTCGTCTTCTTCAAAAACTCGTCGTGTCTATACCACCATATCGTTCTACGGACCTCCGCGGGCTGCTAAGGATACTTTCTCTGGGGTATCGTGGGCACGACCCCTTGCAACGGAAAACGCGAATGTACCATCCATCTCCCTTACTTCTTATTCTCTCTACCCCCATGCACGCAGGCATTTACCATCCATTCATCCGTAACGAAGCATACCACCATCATCTATCTCTTTTTTCCACGCAAACGTCACTTTACTATTATTACTCGCATTCGACTATCTTTATACCTCAACCCTCCCGCACGACACCCTTCACGACCTCTCTCTCTCTCTCTCTCCCTCGCTCGTAGTCACTTTGTTTTTTTTGTTCCATATGTTCTCCGCGCCCCGGGACGTGTGTTTCCCGGCGCATTGACGACTCTTGGTGTCCCCCCTTCTCTGCTTTCGTAGCGCCACCGTGCTATCGGGCTGTCCGTTCGTTCGGGCTTGGTATCGTTGTCCGATCTGAAAATACAGAAGCACCGCGTTTTCGTCGTTTTCTATCGCTGGCCTTAGCATCTTCGTTTTTGTTGTTGTTTTGCAAAGCGCGTGCCCGAGTCCCAGCGGTAAGGGTAATTATTCATAAGTTTAGGTTAACGTTGCGCCGACGGGCCGTTTTTGCCACCCGACTTCTGCGGCGATGTCTACGGACTCGGACTGCCTTTGTCCCCGTCAGTTCCTGCGAGCAGGATAAGAGAAGATCGTGCCCGCGATATCCGGACGGGGGGACACAGATTAGTACCGGCAGAGAACTCAAGAAGCGGCGGCATATAGGAGATATAAGTGCTTCTGCTAAACATGATGCGTGTATGCGCATGCGCGTTTTGATAAACGGTTCGCGAGTTGATCTTAGGACATCGACGTGGGGTATGTACAGTATGTGGGCGCCGTCTAGGCCAACGGCCTCGCCCTGAAGGGGGTCTCATCAAGCACACCGCCGCCAATGGATGTCCCTCGATGACCGTCCGGCCTCGACTCGCGGGTAGACCGAGAGCGACGATAATGACCACTGCCCGCACGATCTTTGGTTCTTCTCGTCCTTCGGTTTTCTTCCTAGCCCTCGAGTTCCTCGATCTTTTCCCTCCTTTTCCCAGCGGTAATGTCCGTGGAGGCGCAAAAAGATGACCAGGGCCAGGCTCTCCTGCCGTTTATGTACTTCGGCTTGGGTAACTGGGTCGAACGTGCGCCCCATGTTCTACTCGACTTCAACATGCACATGGGCGGCCGAAGCCTAGGGCTGCAGCAGCACATGCCCGATGCGGGAAGTCCCCCCCTCCCTTCGAATCTACGCAAAAAAAAAAGCAGTGTAAACATGGGAAATGAGAATCGGCTCATGGGGCCCCGATTCGTCGGGAAAATACGGTTCAGGGCGTCGGGCGCTTATATTTCTGCATTCCATTCCGTCAAAGTCACTTTTTTTTTACATTACTTTCTCTTCGTCGCGGCGCAGCGCTGTCAGTCTGTCGGGCTCTTGACGTCAACCTCTCCGAAACATTGCTAGATATGTAAAGCGCCCTCGGTGCACGGAGGGACCAAAACCCGAACTGAAACCTCGTCCATCGTTAACGCTGAGAGGATGTCGTCGTAAGACCGTACGCGTGTTCAATCTGCAAACACGCCGAATGTTTCCCGCAACCTTCTTCGTCCTTATACGTGCGATCACGAACCTATAAGTAATGGCAGCTGCGGCTGTCACCTCGGCGACTCATACTGCATCCGGGAGTGCTGTGCGTCGCAACGCACGTACGGTGTACAGTAGAGCCTGGCCGATGAACGGTGTGGTCTGCGGCCCGAGCGCGGTGGACGATCGACGAGCCCCCGCCGTGTTGCAGATTATCGTCCGCGCCGGACACGTCGTCTCGCTCATGCTCATGAAGTCGCCCAATTTGCAAAAGCGACTGCAGCTTGCCAAAAAAAAAAACTAAGATATATGCATCATAGTCGTTCATTGAATTCTCCTGGTCTGATATTGATATCTGCCGTCCGAAGTCGTCCATGTCACGCACCCGGTACACCCCGTGTGAGAGAGGAGGAAGACCCCGGCATCTGCCTTTCTGGTGCGAAGATTCGTGATAATGGGGGCCTTTACATACAGGAAACGCGGGAGCTGGCGACCGAGCTGCGATTGACAACGTTTAGCTCTCCCGTCGACGTGCATATCCTGAAATCTCCACGTTACAGGTTATATGCTACTATCATGGAACCAGTGTTCCTATCGGTACCCCTTGTCCTATTCCGACTATTTTGACTCTCAACATGGCTGCACCTCACCTTAAATCACGAAAAATTGCTTGGATGTAAGCTATCGATACTATCTACATGCCCATACTCGGCACTGCTGGTTTGAACTGCGTGGGGGGGCAGGGGAGTCCGAAGAGTACCGAAATCCTATTCTCCCACGGGGTAGGATTTTGCAGAGCGCCAGGACAACGAAGCATTTCTGGGTGACAAGGCTACGATAGTGCAATGTACGATAGCTCTACTAGTCCACTTGTATAGAAACCAGGGTGACATATGATGTTACGGACACTCCAGGAGTGCAACACGAATGCACATCTCTCGCAGAGAGTGACAGAAAGTGACATGGATCCGAACTCCGTTTGAATCCACTTAGTCGCGTCGCGAGGTGCATAGCAACACCGTTCGTCCAAGCTTCCTGTTGTTCGCATGTCCAGAACACATCCCACAAAAACCGTCACTGCAAAGCGAAAATGCAGCAAACCTCGTCGAAAACCGAGTCCCGAGGCAAAGGTCAAGGAAGCTGTTGAATACATGGAAGCCCTTGGTTCCCTCTCACCATGTGTCAAAGATGTCGCGAAGATGTTTAATGTGTCATATGATGTTCTCAGGTACCGATTGTCTGGAAAGCACAAACCTGCCAGTACAGCACACGAGCATCAAATGACATGCACCGTGGCACAAGAGGAGTTCTCTGGACTGGATGTTCT